CTACATTATAAATAGAATCTTAGAAAACAACTATTTCCATTTGACTACCTGACTCCAAAATGACGTACAGTTCACTAAACTGTACAGACGTATTAATTTTGCAGGAATGCCGAACGCAGACATAGCTTTAAACTCCTCTGAACGGATAGGGCTGTCGAATGCGGCTTTATAGTCGACGAATAGATGGAATGTGTCGATGTGTTTTTCGTGGTTTTTTCCAGGGCAGAGTGAAAATCTGGTCAATGGCGGATTTGCCAGGTCTGAAGCCGCATTGGTATGGTCCAATAATTTCATTGACCATTGGCTTCAGTCGTTCACACAGTACGCTGGATAGCACTTTATATGCGATGGAAAGAAGACTTATTCCTCTATAGTTGGCACATATTATTCCTCTATAGTTGGCACATACCGGATACACTTGTCTCCTTTTTTGTGCACGGGACACAGGATGCTGATTCCTCTAGCCAAATTGCACTAATCATACATGCTCCTGACCATCATCTGTCCACCAATCTTGAAAAGTTCGGTTTGTTACCCATCTGTACCTGCTGCTTTATTATTCTTCAGCCGATTAATTGCTATTCTGATCTCATCTTGGCCAGTTGATATACACTCTATACCATCATCTCTTATTGGTTTGGAATATCTTCTTCACCGCTACTATATGATACCAGATAATTTTCAAAATGCTCCCTCCAGATCCTCAGCACGCTGTCTGTATCTGTCACCAGGTTTCCTACTTCATCTCTACAGGAGGATGTGCCTGCCTTCGGTTTGGTGTTTTACCCGTTGGTAGAATTTTCGGACTTCATTACATCTCGATTTGCTTACGTTCACGTTTTTCTTGTTCTATTTTCTGAAAATACGTTTATCCTCTCTCATTTTCTCCATCGCATTACGTGTTGCTACTCCATCGCATTACGTGTTGATACTTTACACGACCTATTATCTTTACCAAGCCTAGATCTAGTTCGAAGGTAGGACCCATTGGTCCACTCCTTCTGGCACCTCCCCCAAAAAGGGTCAAAATTTATAAATTCATTATCATACAAATAGAATGTCTGCTTTGAACCAAACTTTGCACAACAATTTATCTTTACCAAACCTAGATCAAATCCGAAAGTAAAACCCGTCGGCTCTCTCCTTCTGGTACCTCCCCCACAAAGGGTAAATATTTTCTAAACTATTAATTTTAATTTGAAGCTAATTGACTAACCGATTTTATCAAAGTTTACATCCGAAACCTATTTGGTTATATGTCTTTATATGAAGCGAACAGTGAAACCTGTGCTTAATTTCGTAGATCTCCGCAAACTATAGACTGAGGGATTCACTACGTTCCGCAACGTTTTTCGCATTAATAATTCCAAATTTATTGAGGTTACACTCTTTATTCATGCTTTATAGTTTACTATTTCATGCGCCTAAATATAGGCAATAAATAAAAATTATCTTTTCTCTGGTATTTTCCAAACAATTGTCTATTTTCGCAAAATTTGCATTACTATGGTGATGTGCAAAAAATAACGTGACTGATGGAACTAAAAATCTCCTACACTCAACAGAAATCCGTTTTCTCGAATACGAAATATCCAAAGAATAATCCAATAAAAATATAACCACAAAAAAATTTATGTTTTTACTGGGTGTCATGATAAAGTGATTTATTTCCTACCATTTTTATTTGTAAATTTTATTCGAAATATGCCAAATCACACAATTTTCAAAATATTTAATTGTTTTATCCTTGCAAAATTATCTTCTTTGTTTTTTCTCAATTTTTTAATGCAAAACATGAATCAAAATTAATGTTCCATAATCGATTATTTTCGATAGGTTTCTCCATTTGGCATAGACTAAGTTTGATCAATAAAAATGTAATTTTATGCCTTTACTTTTAATGAACTTGTTATCCCCCACCTTCAATGCCTTTTTGCACTTTAGAAAAAATAACATGTGTAAACCTCACATAACTCACACTATTGTAACGGAGAAAATAAATTACAACACCTCACACTCTTCATCTTGCATTCTCTCTCTCTCCTACTCACCCTATCGCCATGATGTTTCAAAATAACGCCAAATGACAACAGTTTTCTATTTCCGTTCATTGTGATTTAAATTTTATACTCATGTAATTTCCTCTCTCTCTCCCTCTCCCACTCTCACTTTTGTAACAGTTAACCGGGTTATTGGGCGATTCAAAAATGTTTTTTTGTTTGTATGTGTCTGACAATGAATGTTGTGTCACATTAACCTTGTATATGTTTCAAATAAAATATTTTCAAAAGTTCTGTTTCTATGCCATATACTGGGAGAAATTTTGTTAAAATATTATTTTCAAATTTTAAAAAACAATACAAAAAATGGATGAGAACATATAAAGATATATTTGCCCCACGCTATGTTTGTTATCCTCTTCATTGGCTGCCGTTTTTATTTGTATGTTTTTATTTTTTGGTTGTCAAAGGCTATGTTTGTTATCCTCTTCATTGGCTGCCGTTTTTATTATTTTTTGGTTGTCAAAGGGGTCCTCATCATTTAAATTAGAACATATTTTTAATTCAACGAAATTTATTATTTAAATTTTATTTCAAGGACATTTTTTTGATAGAGATTCCAACATGGATAAACATTGTGTGGCATTATCATACAGCTATTAATAGCACAATATAATGATAAATATGCGTATAATCCGAGGCAATTTTTTGTGTGAGGTTTTTTTGCATGAAATGTCACGCAACTATTTTTTGCGCCATTTGTGTCTGCTGGTGACATGATGTGATATCACTGCCTGGCACTGCAATGTAAAACATTGACAAAGAGAGAGAGAGAGTGTGTGTGTGTGTCAAAGAATAAATGATGTTGTGTGTTAATGAAATTCATGAACAAAACTAAAGCATACTTTTAGGCGTTTTTAAAACATGAGGGAATTATTTGCAGGGAAATGAATTATTATTTGCCAAAATTAAAGGGAAATTCCATAATAATATGACATTAGAATGATTCGAAAAAATTTCATTGCTAAAAATATAGTTTATTATTAGTTTAGATCGAAAGAAATATTATCGCAAAAATTTGTTTCAAAAGTGCACGCTTATTATGATGGTTTGAAATAAAGATCATTGTAGAAAATATTGCTTTAAAATCCACGGATATTAAGAGGGGTCGAAAAAATATAGTTGCAAAAAATCCACACTTATTGTGGTGGACCGAAAAAATAGCTTCAGAAATATTCTATTAATTATTCACATTAATAGGATGGATACAAAAATTAGCTTCAAAATTTTTCTTTTAAAAATTCACGCGTATAGGGGTGGATCGAAAAAAATGCCTTCAAAAATATTATTTTGAAAAAAGAGTATTTGGATTTGAATTGGATCGAACAAATTAGATTCAAAAATATTAAAATTTAAAAATCCACGCATATTAGGATGGGACGAACAAAATTATTCCTTATAAAAAATATTTTTCAAAAACTCCATTCATATTGGAATGGGTCGAAAAAATTATGTTTGTAGAAAAAATATATTTCGAAAAAAATATTATTCTATGATAAACACATTTTAAAATTAAAAAAAAAAAATCAACGCTTTTTGGCGTGGGTCGAAACGAAATATTATTGTAAAAATTATTGTTGAAAAAATCCATTTTTATTAGGGTGGACTGAAACAAATTTTATCAAAAATATATATTTACAAAAAAATCTTAATAGGATGGATCGAAAAAATATTCTTTTAAAAAATATTGTTTCAAAAAATTACGCTTATTAAGATGGTTAGAAAAATAGATTATATTGTTTGAAATATATATTGTTCAAAACCCCATGCCGAAAAGGCCGAAAATAAATATATTTAAAAAAACTCGCCTATTGGGATGGGTCGAAAATAAAATTAGGATGGGCATTAGGATGGATCAACAAATATTGTTAAAAAAACAAAGGCCCAAAAAAGGCTTTAAAAATTAATTCATTAGGATGGATCGGAAAAAAGTTCCTTGCATTAAATATTTTTTATACACGATTATTAGGATGGTTCGTAAAAAATTGTCCTGTAGTAAATACGTTTCAAAGAAGTCTAAGTTTATTTGGGTGGATTGAGACAGTGTATTGACTTATGGTCGAGACAAAAACAAAGGTTTTTGTTGTGATACATAACATTATTATTGCATCATGAACGTACCCATGGCACAATGAATGCAGCTGATGTCTTGAATAACTGTCAAAGTGGGTAATTTCTACTTGAATTCGGTGTGCAGTGTTGCCAACCATTTGAAATATTATATGGAAAATTTTGACAGATAATCGAGACAAAAACGAATGATGTCTTGATTAACTGTCAAAGTTAATCTACTTGAATTCGATGTGCAATGCTGCCAACTTTTTGAAATATTATAAGGAAAACTTTGACAGATACTCGAGACAAAAACAAATGTTTTTGTTTTGATACATCACCTTATTATTGCATCATTTACACCGAACATGTTTTACAGAAATCGTCATTTATTTGATGACCTTTAATGCTGATTTATAATCATCGGTGTAAATGCGACCTAAGATTTAAAGAGTTGCTGTGAAAATACCCGAAATTTTATTTTGGTTGAAAATTTAAGAAACAGCTGATTTTTCTGCTTTTCATTTTCGAAGGGTATATTTTTTGTAAACAAACAACAGCTGACATCCATTTATATCAACTGGAAGTAAATATAAATCATTGAGATTTATTTCTAGGTTTAGTAAAGAACGATTGCATGTTAACCTGTTTTATTTTATACGTTGTCAATTCCATTGTATACATGCCAAATAAATCCTCATAGAGTAGATTAATCCGGTAAAAAGTTCTAATGTAAATGCCGCTTTAAAATTAAACATATTTGGATTTTTTAAAATTGTTGTTTATATAACGTAATTAATTAAAATAATTTAAATCTTAAATCTTCATTTTTTTCTAGTTTTATTGAAAATAACCTAATATCGCTGTTTCTACATTTTTTAATTTCAGTTCCATACCGCTCTACCTAAATAAATCACCCTACACCACATCTGACAATACTCCGCGACGTTTGCGACCCGTACCAGCAAAAGAATTACAAAAATTACAACCAAAACCATCGCCCAAATTGATAACGGAACAGCTAGCCCAATCAATTTCATTCAAAGAGAATCAATCTCCAGCGACAGAGAGAAACGCCAAAGCGAATGATTCAAAAATTGATCATCGTTACGAAAAATGTATACAAAAACGAAATGAATTTTTAAAATCATGTGAGAAAAATCGTTTCTATAAAAATCCCAATTTCAGCGAACCATGGAAGGTTTTCGCAACGTAAGTACTTATGTATGATTAAATATTAAAAACCGATATTACCCGTTTTATGAAAATACGTAATTTATTTAACTTAGAATCAAAGGAATTGACAATATAAATTACGTGTTTTGTTAAAAGCATTATAGTTTAAGGAATACGGTTATTTGACTTATTAAGACATCAGTACAGAGTTGCATTTTTCATGTTTACTCCAACTTATTCCACCTCTTTTATTATATAATTCTAATTTCGTTTTCTTTTCAGAATATCGGAACGTTTATTAGATGAAGCCCTTCATGATATTGAAAATGATTTCACTGCGGGTGTTACGAAATTTGTTGATGATTTTTTGGAATTGGAGATTAAAAGCTGAACTTTTACATTCACCATTGCAGTATATATACATAAGATATTTTAATAATTTTATATATTTTTTATAAAACATTTTTCTTTTTGAAAATAATAATAAAAAATTATTAACGAAATTCTGTATAAATATGATATTTATAGACATAACGCATATGCCATGTTTACAAGGTACAGGGTATTTTATAAATATATATCTGACCATCGAGTAATTTAATTTACGACTACAGAATTGATTTCGACAATATTTCGGTGCTTTGCAGTGATCTTCGACTTATAGATAATTCATAAGACGACTTATATACGCCTATGATCGTCTTCTTCTTAAAACATATATAAATATGTATTTATAAAGTAAATCTAATCAATTCTATTAAATATTACTAGAAAAACATGATATTTTACTTGATTACTACGTTCAAATGCATGGATGTTCAATGTGAACTAACTTGAACTAGTTCCCTCCGTTCATTTTAGTGAATCCGAAATATGATCAACTGTAGTTCATTTCTGCCATTTCTCTTTCTATACATTGTTATTCTTGGACCTCATACATCACATACTCATTCGTAAACAACATATGATTATCGGCCATTTTGTTTCGTGCTAATCATTCTCTGCCGTGTCTGCCTATTCTTGTCTTCGCTTGGCTTGGCATTGTCGGCGCATTTACATTTGTCAACTCAATCAAGCAGCGGCGTTTCAAGTTTTTTCTTTTAAAAAATACCGAATTAAATAAATAAAATAAACAAAATACTGACGAATTTAACATAGAAATCGAATAAATAATGTCTGAAGATGGAGAATATGAGGCACACGAAGATAATACAAATTACAAAGCCATCAGGTAAGTCTGTGAATCTGGCAAAGCCTCTCCAAAGATTGTGAAATATTCCCGCTTATTTTGTTGTTGTTTTTCCATATTTTTAGTTGTGAAAAAATCCCCGAACTTTTTCTCGATAAACTGGTGGCCAAGAAATATTTCAGTAAATTTGGTAAAATCAGCCGTTTTATATTGAAGCCCAAACGTCTCAGCTGCACGGTGGAATATGAAACTGAAGAAGATGCGGAAAAGGCCTACATGGAAGCCGGTGAATTTAATGGCATTGAATTTGAGGTCAATTATGCCGAAAACAAGCCACCCCAGGTCCAGAGCACTGAAGAATGGGTAGATCCTGATGTTCAGTCTGAGTTAGATGCCATGAATCCTAGCCATCGTGGATTTGGCAGCTCGACAGCAAGTGGTAGCAGCAGTGGCTCAGGTGTTGCAAGATCAATTTTCAGTTTACCATCAGCAGCAGGAGCAGCTGCTGGGAAAGTATCATCGCTACCCCGCCAAATAAAACCACCAGCAACAAGTAGCATAACATTACCTCTGGCTAAGCCATTGAAAATGTCCGCAAATCGTACGGATTCTCCACAACCGGAGTTGCCAAAAATTGACGCCTCAGTTCGTAGTGAACTGGAAGCAATACTAAGACGACCGGCCTTTACCGATGAAGACAAATATCGTGTGTTGGATGCTCGCGATAAACTAATACGTTTGACAACTGTCCGCCAGACAGATTATAAAAAGGCCGTTGCAACGAAGGGTACCTGCCCGGATATGTGTCCCGAAAAGGAGCGTCTGATGAGAGAGTTTCAGAGACAGGTGAGGTTGACATATATTTTTTTAATTAAAGGCCTTTAAAGAATCCTCTGTAAGGTCTTCTTTTTATAGAAGGGCTTTAAAGGTCTTCTGTCTATAGAAGGAATTCTTCCTAGAGAAAGGTCTTCTTTCTATAGAAGGCCTCTTAAAGGCCTTTTTTTTAGAGAAGACCTTTAATAGTTCCTCTGTCTATAGAAAGCTTTGAGAGTATTTTTGCTAGCCTCAACAAAGATTTGTATTTTTTTAAATATTGTTTTAAGGTCCTAAGAAGTTCTTGTATATCTAAGAAAATGTTTTAAGGGACTATTTATTATTTTATTTTTACCTTTTCAGGTTTCCACATTCGAAATGACTGAAGACGAGAGTTCACAATCAACCATCTGCCACAAAAAAGCAATTAAGGAATATTCCCGCAGTAGTGCCGATCAAGAAGTACCCCTCTCGCATGAATTACGTTCCGAGTCGGTGCTACAAATGACCATGTTATATCTGATGCATCGTATAATGGATCTCTGTGATGATCCACAAACTTCACTCGGTGATTGGTTTCATTTTGTATGGGATCGTACACGTTCGATACGTAAAGATATAACACAACAAGAACTGTGTTCCCTGGGTGCGGTCCAGTTGGTAGAACAATGTGCCCGTTTTCATATACATTGTGCTGCCCGCCTGGTAGCCGAAGATCCTTCAGTATTCGATAAGAAAATTAATGCTGAAAATCTAACCAAATGTTTGCAGACATTAAAATATATGTATCATGATTTACGTATCAAAGGTGTTGCGTGTCCACGTGAAGCGGAATTTCGTTCGTATATTATTCTGCTAAATTTGGGTGATTCGAATTTCTTGTGGGAATTGAAACAACTGCCCGAGGCAATACAACAATCAGCGGAAATTAAGCGAGCAATTTCATTTTATAATGCCCTACAGAATAATAATTATGTGAGATTTTTCTCAATGATACGTTCGGAGCGCACATCATATTTAGAGGCATGTATCCTCTTGGGTTATTTTAATCGATTGCGTCTAAGGGCCATGGAGGTTATAATCAAATCACACAATTGGCGTAAGAATGATGTCTTTTTGCCTTTGTCGTATTTGTCTCAAGTCTTGGGATTTGATGATGAGGCAGCAGCCATAAATTTCTTTGGTTATCATGGTCTGCAATGTGATGAGTCTGATGATCGTGTGCTATTGGAGCGGCTGCAAATGCCCGATATGGAATATTCCATGGAAAGGGCTTTGAAGGTGGGTAGATATTTGAATACCTTATTTTTTTGTAATTCTAATAAATTTTGCTTTCCCTTTAGCTCGTGGAATCCAAACGTTTGGTCTCGGTGGGTGAATGTATCTGCGGTGAACCTTTGCCTTCGGCCAAGACCTTTGAAAATCATCAAACCCACAGCAGTTTCGATGCCAATGGTCTATTGCGCACTGATGCCTGGTCAGCCATGGATCAGTTGCGCGGTGAAGAGGCCCAAAAGAAATTGGAAGAAAGGCAACAAACTAAGCAAGCAATATCTATAAACACTACCACGGTAGCATCATCAGGATTCCTCAAACCTTCAGATAACATTTTCAAAATGCCTCAAGCTTCTCCTCCCATTTCGCCCAAGCAAGTCTTAAGGAAACCCACACAGGAAGCAGCAGAACCACCCCCAGCCACAAAATCAATTTTTGCCTCTGTGGTTAACAATGAAGATAGTCGCAGCTCCTCACCTGGAGGTTTTAAATTTGGTGGTAATATTTTTGGCAACACTGCCCCAGTCACAACTACTTCAACAACGGCCACAAGTTTTAGGCCAGTGCAAGAATCATCTACATCGATTTTCAAATTACCCTCTAGCTCCTCAACAGCTCCGCAAGGCTCTACAAATTTATTTCAATCAAATATATTTAAGCCGGCTGCCGAAAAAACTACTGCTGTGGCGGGAAATATTTTTGGTGGTTTTAAGGCCACAACGGACAACAAGAAACCTTTGATATCCTCCGTATCATCATCTGCAGGTGCAAGTATTTTTGGTAGTGCTGCCAAAGAGACAGCCAATATTTTCCAGCAACAACAACCTCCCAAAAATGCAACTCCCTTTCAAACGGATAACGTTTTTCAACATTTCCAAAGTAAACCACAAATGTCAATATTTGGCGAAGCTTCTGCGAATACCTTTAAGGACTCCTCATCATTTGTGGCACAAAAACCATCCCTCCTCTCCACCACCAGCACATCAGCCGCCCAAGAAATGGAACAACGTAAATTACAACTTGAACGTGAACATGAATTAAAACAAAAACAATTGGAAGAGGAGCGACGAAAACTAAAAGAACTCGAAGAGAAACGTTTGCGGGAAAAACAAGAAAAAGAACAACAGCGACAAAGGGAATTGGAAAGACAACGTCGGGAACAGTTACGGCAAACTTGTCTACAAAAAGCCAATGAAGATTGCCACACCCTTATTGCCGAGGTGTTACAAGAAGAATTGGAGGAACTTGCTCGCAACGAATTACATAAATATCAAACGGTACAAAAGGCCTCACAGCTACAATTGGAGAACCTCCTGGGAGATGTTGTACAATCCCTGGTGGAGGACATTGCCCATGAAGAATATGCGGTGATGTGTTATGATCAATTGTTGCTAAATCGTTATTTCAATCGCTGGCTAATGCATTTACGCAAAAAGCGGGAGCAACGTAAACTTATGGAAAGTACTCCAATATGGGTGACCACCAATACCCGATCCCAATTTGCAAATGCCTTGGAACATCCATGTAAAGAAACCAACTTGGAAATGATAAAACGTTATCGTTTGGGTCAGCCGTGTGATTTCAAGCAGCTTATGCGTTTGGGTGACCAGGCACCAATGGCTGAGGTGCATCACAGCAAACCGCTGTGTTTATTCACCCTGGTTGGGCGGCATTTGTTGTCGAAGCAAAATGTCACCCCTGCTGGGTTGGTGCAGCAAAGGCAATATTTTAAATTTTTAATAAGTATACCCTCAGACAAAGAGGAACTGCCAGGCTTCGAGGCCTTTTGCAATAAATGGCTATTCAAGCACATACGAAAGGCCCAACTGGAGACGGGACCATTTGTACATGGCCTGGAGAACAATATGGCCTTGTGTGTACGCAAATTAAGTGGCATATATCCACACAATGAACAGGGAGATGAAATGCGTACGGAAGGTGATCACAGTGATGGCGTGGTGTTCATTATTAGCGGTGAAGAGTTCAACTCAAGGGCACGCAGACGCCTCTATAATTTACTTAAGAATTCGAAGAATTACAAAAAGATACCCCTCGCCATAATTGCCTACAATTGCCTCATGAAAAAGGAGTTGGTGGCGGAAATGTTAGATCTCGAAACCCTGGAGGATGAGGATATGGTGTGTAAATACAAAATCATTGGACATGGAGTGTCTCGAAAGGATTTCAGTTTTCGCAAAGCCATAAAGGATGCCATAGATTTCATTACCGTAGAAAGTTATAAGGAGAATTGTCAAGATACCCAAGCCTTGGCCATGGAAAATGTACTCAGTTTCTTGGATGCCTCACTGGGGGAGGAAATATTCTATCGATGGCAGGAATCGGCCAGAAATAATCCAGTATTTCAAAAAATCTGTCAGCAACCCCAACATGTTGAGGGCATTTATCACAAGGCCCTGGAGCAATTGATACAAATTACCCAAGAAGATTTCAGTGAAATGCCAGAATTTCCCGAAGAACTAAAAGAATTTGTGCCACAACATAATCACATAAACATACCATTGGGTTTGGAATTCTTTCCCAGCAATTGGAAAGAGGACAATGCGAAGAAAATTCTATATAATTTTTTGAAAAAATTACAATTACCCCCGCTAAAGAAAATAGCACCCCAGCCACCCTCAAATCTAGAAGATTTGGAATTGTGGATATTAAATTATGCCTCCTTGTGTTTGCCACAGGATGATATCATGGCCACCAAAGTTGCCCATGAATCCATTTCAAATGTCATACAACAGCTGAGGCAATTGGCCATACCCCTAACCACGGACGAAAGATTAAAGTACCTTAACTATTTGACCATTATGAAACCCATAGTATTTGCCTATATCAATCAGAAGCTAAAAGAGTTCTGTGAAGAATTAAAATCCATTCCTGTCATTTACGTCCGAAGAGACCTCTACAATTATCAAACACAACCCTGGTGGCTTAATTATCAACCCTTGGATATGGTCAGTTATGATCACAACTGCCAAGAAGCAAATGATCTACAAGCGGAGAAGGATTCCCCACAAGATGATCACAAAGAAAATCAATTAACCACCCAACAGCTGGATGAAATTATAGCACGAGCTGAAAATGCTTCACGTAAAGTTGAAAATAATTTACTCAACGCCATTAAGGATCAGACGAAGAAAAAGAAAATCGCCAAACCGCCAGCGAAAAATCAAGAAAATCTACAGCTAAAACGTAACCTCGATGAGTCGTTGTACAAATTTGAATTGTCCAAGAAAATTGGTCAATACGACACCAGTTATATTGATAATTTGACACAGGACATTGACAATTCAATACATGAAGTTTTACACAGTGGTGGTGGCGATGATGATCAGGAGAATTCCTCACCTGAAGGTCCCAGAAAACGTAAACGTTTATCACCGCTGAAGAATCAAAATTGCAATTCGTCGATGGGCAAAGTTGATGATGTCATTGCCCGCGCCATGCAGTTAATACAAAAAGTTGATGCCATAGAAGATCGCCGCAAAAAAATTAATGTCTCACAAAAATTTCGTTGTGGAATTTAATTTACTTTATTGACTCTCTGGAAGGATTTTTGTTAAGTATCGATCGAATGCATTTGTGTGTTTTGTTTTCTTTATATATATTTTTTTATTTGTTGTATTATAGATTTTTTTCACTCGACGAAAATAAATGTAATTATATAAATTTTTTTGCAAAAAAAATATTATTGTTAAGAAGAAAAAAAACAATGTGTATTAATTTTAGTGATCGCAAACTTAAAAAACTCTCTGATTAGGAAAATGTGAGGCATATGAAAAGTGTTCCTTTACGGGCGACCTTAAAAGTGTCTAAATATGGTACTTAACTCTATGTTTCCGAAGTAGACGAATTGGGAAAAATTCAATATGAAAACATAAACAAAATTGAGTGGAATCACAAACATGTGGGACTCTGAGATTGGGATCAGAGAGGCATATAAAAAATATTCTTTCTCGGATTACAAAATGATTATACAGAGGCCATACACCTTTTGGAAAAAAGTTCAACGTAAGGGGTGCTGAACTCATTGGTTACTATGGGATATTTTCAGTACAGGGTTGTTGTAACAGTTCGGTTTGTGTGATGATGGGATATGGGTATTTTTGGTTATGATGGCGTGTGGGTTATTGGGCTATGTGTGTGTATGTGTAGATATTAGGATATATATGAATATATTATGTAGGAAGCTACAAAAATTGGGCCACTTCCACTGGTCTAACCCAGAGATCCACAGGGCGCAAATCTGTGGGCCTAACTGGGCAAGAAAATAGATGATTTGTGTCATGAGGAGTGCTGTGACAATTTGGGCACTGATCGCATATGCTGGAAATAATTCGTGATTGGTATTTATTTGGAATGGTGATCCAGCCAGATCTAAGTTGAGCTAGAGTTGTTCTAGTGGAACTGGGGAGGCGCTTTTCGGAGTCACTGATTGCTGGAAGATGTTTCTTAAGGACTTTATTTAGGCAATATCCGTCGTCGGCTTGATTCACCGCTCGAGTGTGCAGCTGTTTCAGACCTGACGCTATTGACAATCTGTTGAGGTCGGATGGTATGACGTCTTGGATGTCTGGGCGGAAGTGTCCTTCCGGATGTGTCGTGATGTACTGGCAGTATCCTTGTCTCCTCATGAAGATGATCCACGCTTGGCATCTTAACACATCCGGTAGCAATCCGTAGAGTACTATTTTGGTTCGTTTGAAGTTTGCGCCATTGGATGTCGCTGAGGAATGAAGTCCAAGCAGGGGCGGCATAGCTCAGTACAGAGCAGCTTTGTACGTCATGATGAGCGTCTCTTTATCCTTTATCCCAGGAGGTACCTGTCAGAGCTTTCAGGACTTTGTTTTTGCTTAGGACTTTTCCTTTGACATAGGCGCTGTTCAAACCATCAGTACAGGATATTATGTCATTGTGGATATGTTTGTAACAGCGAAAGGAAATGAGAATATGAATAGAATCACTTTTTGAGTCGATTTATGCATGTCCTTCCGTCCATCAGTTGATGTTAAATTATAGAGAAAGTACTGGTCGCATTTTATTTATTTTTATTTATTTTATTTATTTATATTTTATTTTGTAAAGAAAAGCCTAAAGGCCAATAAGATTTACAATATGCATGAACTTATAGTACCTACTCCAGATTATGACAATATTAATTTACATAGATATATTTACCATATAATTACAATTAAAAATATATAATAATAATAATTAATTTTTTGTAGATAATAAATAATTTTATAAAGCAGAAAAAAATTAGTTCTCAGTTTAATTGAAGATTCCGCAAAATGCGCTTCCGAAAGGTTGAAATAGATGTGCAAAAAGTTTTTAAGTTATTGGGAAGGGCATTAAAGAGACGGGAAACCCTAACCCGAAATGACTTATCCATCCTTCCAACTAAACGAGGTATTAGAAGGCTTGTAGTCCGAGTAGAACGTGCAAATGTAAACGAATTAACAAGAAAGTTAGGACATTGGAATTTAACAATTTTATAAAAAAGTAAGAGGCATCGAATATTAACAAATTCATCAAATGTGCATCCCAAAAAGTCTCTTGTTAGAGGCGTAATATGAGAGAAGCGTTTGGAAGAATAGAGGTAACGCATTGCGTTGTTGAACGCCTTGTGAACGAGCTTCATTCTCGTCATAGTTGTGCCAGAAAAGATTTCAATGCCGTAGAGTATGTTTGGCATAACTAATGAATGAATTAATAACTTTTTAATATGATTTGGTAAGCATTTATAATCCGATTTTGATGAAATTTAGTGCAGTTCATTTATTTGGTCCAAGGACGAACCTTATAATTTCGCCGATTTAAAAGAAATGGTGCGCCAAAGTCCCTATATATCTTTCGATTTGCACGAAATTTGGCATGTCGTACTGAATTGAGTGTAGAATGATGTGTGTTGAGTTTAGTGAAAATCGGTTCAGATTTAGATATAGCTCCCATATATATTTTCGTCCGATTTAAGGTAAATGTTGTACCAAAATCCCTATATATCTTTCGATTTGCACGAAATTTGGCATGGCGTACTGAATTGAGTGTAGAATGATGTGTGTTGAGTTTAGGGAAAATCGGTTCAGATTTAGATATAGCTCCCACATATATTTTCGTCCGATTTAAGGTAAATGTTGTACCAAAATCCATATATATCTTTCGATTTGCACGAAATTTGGCATAGCGAACTGAATTGGGTCTAAAATTATGTACGTTAAGTTTTAAGAATATCGGTTTAGATTTAGATATAGATATATTTTCGTCCGATTTAATGTAAATGGTGCATCAATGTCCCTTTATATTTTCGATTTGCACGAAATTTGGCATATCGTACTGAATTGAGTCTAGAATGATGTGTGTTACATGCGTGGATTTTTTAAAAATAAATTGTACAATAAAGACCAGTGACCTATCCATTGTTTCCTTAATAGCTACACGCCTCGGGTAATTCCTGAACGATCGCTAAATGTATTTACTCTAGAGAACTTTAAATTTCATCATATCATTAAAAGCCCATCAAAAAATAATCACTTCAAGAGGTTCGAAAAAAATCTATTTTTACTTTTCAATCGAATTTATCACAACAAATCACTCCGAAGATAATTTCATTAGATATGAGTCACTGTGAAAATCACAAATCGTATAACGCAATTTTTTGTCACAATAATAATAAAATGTGCAAAATTGTTGTTGTTTATCAGCATTAATTTGAAAAACATGTTTACAAATAAAGTGTGCCGTATGCATTTTTAATTAGAACAACAACAAATTGTTTGTGGTGGTCACGAGACAATTTTTGTTCTGTTACACACAGTGAGCGACTACAAAGAATTTTGCAGCACACTCTATGAATAATTTTTTAAACAATAAAATAGCAAAATATCTCTCTCAATAATAGAGATCGGGAGATCAAAGTCCAAAATACGAATTTAAAAATGCGTCACAAGTTGAATCACCTTAAGCGTATTTTTTGTATTTTATTTCTTTTGCAATTTGTCAAATGCAATGATGAAGAGAATCCTGACCCATTGATGAAAATAAAAAGAAGAAAATTGTATTTTGTTTGTTTTTTTTTTTTTTGGCAGATAACAACAGTGGATCGTCATCATGATGGATTGTGATGAAATTTTTGTAATGATATTTCAATGCAAAACATCACACCACATTAGCCTCCATTCTCTGATTTGTTTGGCACTCAAGTCAATATAATAAAAATCTGACTATTAACGGAATTTTCTCGCAATATCTTCAACTTTCCCAATGACTACGGATAGATGTTTGTTTGTGTGTGTTTGACCACTGTTGTTATCCTCTTTGTTTTATTTTCGTTTTGTTTTTGTTGTTATTTACAATATATAAATTTTCATTCTTTTCATTTCATGACAAAGAACAAAAAAAATTACAGATTTTTTTTTTTTTGGAAAATTAAAACAAAGGTTGTACACATTATTAACTACTAAAAAAAATTATCGTAAAAAAGCAGAGATGAAAAATAAAAAAATAAAATTTGTTTAACTAAAAAAAAAATAAAATATTTTTTTTTCAACAATAAAAATGTTAAAATTTAAATTATACACATCTATATATATATATTTTGTTTAATAATGATGAAGAAATTAAAACATTTCAATTCATAATTTAATGTATATCCTGAGGAACGCTGTATACAGATGGGAATGGTTAAATTCCCCCAAAATTGTTTTTTTCAGATTTCAAACCACATTTTAAATATGATGTTGAGCCTTGCATTGACGTAGCGCCTCATTGAAGCCTTCGCACAAAGTCAAATCCGATTGTCCCTGGGCACATTGCAAAAATTGTTTAATTTCCCAGCTGCAGGGTCCTTGTGGTTCATTGGGTTGAGCAGCACCACCATAGTATTGTTGTTGAGCTGGTGCAGCAGCAGCTGGAGCGGGAGCTGCAGCTTCTTTGTCACCACTGCCACTGAAGAGACTGGTAATACCATGACCTACGGCGTGGCCAACAGCTGAACCGACAGCAACACCACCAGCGGTAGCGGCCATCTGTTGGAACATAGAGGGTTGTTGGGGTGCACCTACAGCGGTGGGTGCAGCCTGCACGGGTGCTGGTGGCTGGGCTGGGGGAGCAGCACGGGCTGGCACATTTTGGGAGGGTGCAGGAGCGGGTGCACTTCTGTAATAAAGTAAAAAAGAAAATAATTATTAGTAAAGTTTTTAAAGACAGAATCAGAGGGAGAGATAATTCAAAGCTGATGGAATTGCGGTGTGGATATTTTATTATATTTCCAAAGGCCTAACAAAGGCGTGGATTTTTTTAAAGAATATTTTTCAAGGGTCTAACAAAGGCGTGGATTTTTTAAAGAATATTTTTTCAAGGGTTTAACAAAGGCGTGGAAAAAATACAAAATATTTGTTAAGGGTCTAACAAAGGCCTGGATTTTTTTAAGAATATTTTTTTCAAGGGTCTAACAAAGACGTAGATTTTTTAAAGGGCTCCTTCAAAGAGCAACCAATGACTATCACTGATCCTGCCATGAGGATCAGATTTGTCAATGATTGCCGCTAGAAGGACTTCTTCAGCGGCTACCTTGATCAATCTGTCATATGGCTTACGCTGTCTTTGGCTACGAACTTTGGAGTTCGCCTTTCCAGAGGAGGTTACTGCCTTCCCTGTACTTAGCTGTTTCTCCGCCGTTTGTTGTCCAGCGACAGCCGCATATGAGGTAGAAGAATCTGCCAGATGAGAAGTTATCGTCTTCTTGGGTGAGGGTTGCGGACCTTCTAAAGAGCGGATGCGCTTCACAGATTTGTTCTGTAGGGCGACATTTACTCCCCCAGAAGACGATGGTTCCTTGACTGACTTCCCCTTCTTCCTATTTCGACCACTAGTGGATCCACCCAAAGCATTAGCTTCACCTTTGTCGTTAGGCGCAGAATCACTCTTTGAGGCAGAGCCCTCCACACGTTGATCACCCTTATGGGTGATTCTTACTCGGGTTCGGCTTCGAACTGGGCTTCAGGTCAGAAGTCGGCTTAGCACCTTTGCCAGAGAAAGTGGGTTTCGCCGATTCTACCACTTTTTGCGAGTAGTAGGATTCGGGAGGGAGATCCTGTTCATCTCGAGTTCACGATGGAGAGCGTGCGGATAGATTCTTACCCTTGATGAGGTGTACCTCCCTCTCCGAGATCAAATTCGCGTCTCGCCCCATCAGCCAGAGACTGATTTTCATCAGTCTGGGCTGACAGGACTGTAGGTTTAGGACCTATGCCCATATCTCGCGAAGTATGAACTTCCCTCATCATACACTTTCAAATGCCCATATTTGGACAAAATAGAACTGTCGCAAGGCAAAATGCAATTAAGGGCTCAATTAGAATTGGGTCCAATGAAGAAGGACAGGAAAATACATTCCATAAATCATGGATCAAGACTTGAAATTGGCTGATTAAAATGTTCATTCACATTCCGATTTGTAGCAATTGAAATGTAAGAGACACATTATGGTTGGCAGGGGCGAATATGTAAACATTACCCCAAGAAGAAGGGTTGAAATAAAAGGGGGGTTTTCACAGAACATTCTTCAAAGTCCCACTAATTGATATATATTTTTTATAAGATTACAGTTGCTGTTTTCAGCACTAAATTTGATTATCATCATATCATGACCCCTTTCACTTCTCTCCGCCTCCTCTCACACAATAACAAAATGGTCAAACACAATCATGCAAAAAATAAAAGGTTATGTAACCCTCACCACACAATGGAAAATTTCATCATTTTTTGCAAATTATTTTCATTGGAAAATCTATGTTTAAGAACAGCACACATTTTCCGAACAATTGTTTTTGTCAACACACAAATCACGCCACTTGGAATTAATCCAAAAAATGCAATTCTAGCAGCTTCCTAGTTGTACTCCTCCACTGACGACATTTCACGGCATGTTTGATAATTTTCACAATTTTGCGTTTATCTTTTCTCCTCGAACTTACCTTCTTGAAGCTGGTGGGGGGCTTGCAGAACGTCCACGTCTAACCATTTTTGTTGAAATTTATTACTTCTTGGATTTATGGAAAACAATTAATTTTTTCTTTCTTTGATTCACTTGTTATCGCTTCACAGGTATTTTGTCGTTTGAATTCTTGCTTTGGTTTGTTGTTTCTAATTGGCAACACTCGTCGCTCTCGTGTTTATATAAAAGAAATTCGTTAATGTATTCTAATTGGCAACGCGCACACTCTCAATTTTACGAGAAAATTCCAATTGTAGATGCCAAAGTAATGGTGAAGATAATTTACGGCGTTGCAACTGTCAGTTGGTGTTGTAGTTATAGGCAACGTAACGTAAGGAAAATGTTATTGAGTAACTGTGATATTAAGGGATGTTATTAAGAGGCAGGTCCTCCTCCAGCTAGTCCACTTTCTATTAGAATAGAAGGTATAGGACCATACACCATATGAACGAGATTTTCTTATATTTTTCGTTTAGATCGATAAACACGTGGCAAGTTAAGCGAACACTTAACACAGCGCCATTTTGAAATTTGCTAGGCGTGATTAAATCTTTAAATGCGTTTTTCTTACGAGCCGTCCGAAGACGAACTGGTTCCTATCGTTGTAATACATTTATCTTGTGTTGTATTGCTTCCACTAGCTTGAGACCATGACACAATGAATAGGTAGTCCATTTTGAGCAGCTGATGTCTCGATTAACTGTCAAAGTGCGTAATTTCTACTTGAATCCAATGTGCAATGTTACCAACCATGTGAAATATTATAACGAAAATTTTGATAAATAGTCGAGACAAAAACTAAGGTTCTTGTTAAGGTGATTTATCAACCTTATTATTGCATCATGCTTGAGACTTAACTTTCAAGCAGAGGTCATGGTAATTTTCTAATAGAGGTGATGGCAGAGTGTCATGAAGAACCAAAGTAATACAACAGAATTCAGACATGCCAGAATGAGTGCGAAGATAATATCCATACATGTCATTGGGTGACTAATGTACAACAAACCGTTATGGTGGCTCGTATATATAATTTAGATTCAGTAAATAGAAGACTCCATATTACCAAAATTTATGACATTGGACCATTTACACAGTGTAATCCCCGCAAACGATCACCGGTCATGATTGACCACGCACGTTAGTATGATCATCTTCAGATGACGGTCGAGTAGTAACCAATGAATTTCACTGATCTAGCCATCTGGTACCATCTGTCGAGTTGTCGTTTCAGTCGTGACAGATTTCGAAATTTGCTGTGAGGGCTTACCACTACGCCCGACTTTTGTTTACCCCGTTTATTTCCTTGGACCATATTCACGGTGTAAATTCAGCAAACTGGTCATGATTAACCACGCGCATTATGATTATATTCTTCAGATGACGGCCAAGTTGTGACCAATGAATTTCACTGATCTGACCACTTGGTACCATCTGTCGAGTTGTCGTTTCAGTCGTGGCCGACTTCTAAATTTGCTGTGAGGGCTTACCACTACGTCCGACTTTGGGTTTCCCCGTGATAGCCTTTTGAGAAGATCCAGAAAGTTCCTACGAAGAGTCGTCAATAGGTACTACTTTCGTCTTCCCAATGACGGCCTTCCCATTATCCTTTTTTGCTACTACTTTCGATTAGTAAATGTTTCCTCGTAGCCGGTTGCAATTCCACTGTCAATCTCATCATTTTTATTGTCAAAGGCGTGGAGAATTGGATCTTGATCGGAACAGTATCCACATTAGTTGCTGATGCTGCCGCTGGCCCAACTTCTGCCTTCGGCCTCGTGTTTGTCACATGCTTCGATTTCCCTCTGTTGTCGACTTGGTGGAAATGCCGACAGAGGTAGACAGCGCACGGGTGGTAAAAATTCGGTGGGTCGGAAGTTCCCTACAGGCCTTATGGGCATAGTCCCTTTCTTACTCCCTCACGACCTTTAGGTGATTCTTGATCCAGATAAATTCTAACCATTTGTTTGCTTAGATATAGGGGCGCCAAAACTTTCCTTTGTATGTCCAGATCATTGGCGCTCGCTCGTTTAATCCCAACCTTTAGACCCGCTGACTATCTGCGACTGCTAATTTTATTCAAATTACCCAATTTTCTTCCACACTTTGATTTAGACCCGTTCTGTATCATATATGGTGGGCTATGCGCAACTGTACACCGACTGCCTCATCTGTCGATGGGCAGGAAAAGCTCCTTTCGTGTCAGCGGGTCGTCATGTTAATATGCTTGCCAGTGTGTCGAACAATTTCCATAGAGGCGCTACTTGGCGCCGCGCCGCTTGATCTTGAAGTGAGATGAAGGGCTATCATGTATAAGCTTAAGCGTGGCTTGCAGTTGGATGAGGATGATTGGCCTTTCTGATCTGGTGGATGGGGAGAGTAGGCGGTACAGCACTATCCTTTGAGAGTGTTTTGTTTATAGGTGGAGGACAAGGTGGATGAACGGTGACAAAGGTAGGGTGACGTACGAATTTATTCGTGACGCAATGTTCGTAGTGGACCGGCCAGACATTCGCTTCGGCTTAAGTACTGGTTGCTTACTGACGGAACATGGTCCCCTCAATGCGTTTCTGCATAAAAGAGGCCTGTCCCAGACGGATTTATGTGGGTGAGGGATGACTGAGGACAGGAGGCATATACTGACGGAATGCTGTTACTATGATGACTTTAGAGATTTAGCAAGTATGGGTATATCGAGGAGCGGGGTGGGATTTCAGTAGGGCTGTTGAAGACGATCGGACCATTAGCTGTTTAAGTAGTTTTGCTCGTGAAGCATTTAGGAGAAGGACTGCACTTAGTAGACCCCTTGTAGGTGGGCTCAGTCGATTGCACCCGGTGGCGGTGGATGTTGGTGCGGTTGTTGGTGGTGAGTGTGTTGTGGGTTGGTGCACCCGGCGGCGGTGGATGTTGGTGCGGTTGTTGGTGGTGAGTGTGTTGCCTGCGGTTGTTTTGCATCGTGGGTGGTTCGCGATTTCTGCTCCATGAGGACTGCACTTAGTAGATGTGGTCCTCGTGCATAGCCCCCTTGTAGGTGGGCTCAGTCGATTGCACCCGTTGGCGGTGGGTGTTGGTGATGAGTGTGTTGCCTGCGGTTGTTTTGCATCGTGGGTGGTTCGCGATTTCTGCTCCATGAGGTTCACTCGTCTTGTGGATGTCCGATGCCGCGGTCCTTTGGCCATTAAGGGTCCATTGTAGTAAAAAATTGTACATTTTTGCAAAATCTTGAACAGGATGCGTCTTAATTACTCCTGGTTTGTGTAAACTTATGTAAAAAACACACGCCGTTAAGGACTAAACAGAATGTTCGCGTTGAGCGTTTTTTGTTATCGCGTTAACGCACGCAAAAAGTTAAAATATATTTAACTCCGAAGCGCAGCGCACATCAATTTCGAGCGTTTGTGTTATCGTTTCCTTGTGGTTGTTGTATTTTCGATAACACATAACGCAACGGATGTCTCAACGCGAGCATTCTGCTTAGCCCTTTACAGTTGACTGCGTTGTAATTGCCCGACTTTGTCGCTCTCCAAACAAAACTGACACGACGTTTGTTAAACGGGGTTGTGATAGATACCGGATAATACAAAAAAACCCATATTGTTAAATAAAATCCTTTCCAATTATTGGTTTAAATGGTTTAAACAGTTATTTGAATTGGATTTAATTTTTTCATGTGTAATCATTTCTCCTGCCTTGTGTAAACCTATGTAAAAGAACCTCTGCCGTTAGCATTGGTAATTGACTGCGTTGATATTACCTTATGACTGACTTTGTCGCTCTCCATCAATATGTAAACAAAACTGACACGACGTTTGTCAAACGTGGTGGTGGTAGTGGCTCGTTCAGACGTTCGTCGTGATGCAATGATTGGTTGTTATTGTTTTTTTTTTATCATCTGATATGAAGAGAATTTAAAATGTGTGAAAAATAGTAACAATACAATAGTGAAAGTGTAAAGATAAAAAATTTATAATTTATACTTCTTTGTGATATCAGAATAATCCAATTGAAATCAATGCAGAGACAAAAAACAAAGAAGAAAAATAACAGGAAGAAGAAAAAATATAACCCAACAAAAACAACAATTGAAAGTGCGTTCGTTCGTTGGTGACGGCCGGGAAATTTTACAATGAAAAACAAAATTAACGTCAACAGAGTTTAATTGTGGGGAAAAATAGATACATGCGAACAACAACAACAACAAAAATAATCAAGCTACAACAAAAAGGTTAATAAACGGCCATTAAACCAAATAACAAAAAAATCATTCGATTTTATCTGCCAATGATCAGCGGCGCAGTTCAGTTTGACACAATATAACCTCCAAAACAAAAGAAAAAAACAGTGATTTTTTCAGGAATATTGAGGAAAAAATGTAGAATTCTTGAATGAACTTTTCACACACACGTCCATCTTCATTGATAACTGAAAAAAAAATTAACAACAAAATTGTGCTGCAGTTGCGGCGGACACCAAACGTTGGATAATCATTGCTTATAAGGAAACCAAACAACCATAATGTTGGGTTGTTCTCTTCCGGCCAAATGGTCGGACATACGTATCTTCCCCGTCCGTATGTCCACCACACAAAAGGTAAGTGCAGTCAAATGTCAAAAGTTTTTCATTTTTTTTATTCATTGTTTTTGTTTTTCTATTAAAGGTAATTGAATTGATTGATGAAATGTTTTGGGGGCACGTCCAATTTTTGTTTGTGACGTAAGAGAAAAGAACCATGTAAACGATAAAACAGAAAATTGTCCACGTTTTTCTTATTCTGCTTGGTATACCCGCCAAATCGACAAGTAGTTTTCTTATCAAACCGTCCTCTTCATAGCGTAGCCATTGTGTTAAAATAAACAAATTAGAGCTGCAGCCATTGGGCAACAACAAAAATCAAAATTTCCATAATAACAAAATGCAGAACCTGTTTGGTTTTTTTTTCATGGTGGTATTTTCAATGCAAACAAATGTTAGGGAGTATTTTGTATACAATGGAATTTTTTGTTTAAATTCAAGTTTTGGAAAAAAACATGTCATGTCCACAACAATCACCATTAGATGAAGAGATTCAAGTCATATGCATTGCATTATCACTATTGAATATGGAGTATCAATAACAAAGGTCAATAAGAGATCTAAAGGGAAACTCCTAGCAATGATATAAATGTGTACAAAATATGTTCGTTGTAATGTCAATCATTATGTCGTGATATTCGGAAGCTTCGGAATATTTCCATCGCAATATAAATTCCAAGCAGCTATGGTCTACATTAAGAATTTATCTGGTTCCAAAGGAAATAAAAATCTCCCTGACATTTCCTTCAATAACATCCGGCATTTAGATGCCAAAAAGCTGATATAATATAACTGCAATATAAATTCCAAGCAGTTATGGTCTACAATTAAGAGTCTTATTTGGTTCCAAAAGAAATAAAAATATCCGTGACTTTTACTTAAAAAAAAATTCCAAACGGCTATGGTCTACAATTAAGAGCCTATATGGTCCCAAAAGAAATAAAAATCTCCCTGCTATTACCTTCAATAACATTCAGAGAAAAAAATGTGCATTGCAGTTCTGGTCCATGATAGTAAAGATAATTTCTATCAGAAAAGATTCGAAACTTATTGCAAATTTCCACTTCTCAAATTTAGTACGAAATTTCTGGTGTTGGAGGCCAGAAACTGACTTCCGGAAAGGAGTGTGAATTATTACCCAAAGTAGTCAAATCTCTTCATTCTATCAGTTTTGATATCGATTTAGTTGATGCATCTTTTAATAAGTTATATCATTTCGATCTTATTTTGCGCAATGCTTTTGAAAGATTTATAAACCTAGAAGGTATTAAAAATAATATATGTAGCAATGCATCTGTTTATAACACAATTTTCGGCTGGGTTCTAAGTGGCCTCATACAAGTTCATTCGATCTCGAATAGACGAATCTAAAAATATTTTAATAAGCAAATTTTTCATGAACAAATTTTGGGAACAAGAAGATGCCGCAATCTCATATTAATTTTTTTTTAAAGAATTTTACAAAAAAAAGGACTACTGATGGTCGTTATATAGTCCGATCGTGCTTTAAGGTACACAACCTTAGACGGATAGACGACAAACGAATATTTGTCATTAGATCACATTGAAGAAACGAGACGTACAGCCCCCTATCATTCATCCAAACGCCTTGATCCAGACGGCATTTCCATGTTCATGTTAAAGAAGCTTAGGGCTTAGGGTTATCTGACCAAGATCCTCAAAGTTTCACAGTCGGTAACTCCTAAAAATTGGAAAGTTGAGAGGATTATTCCCAGTCTAAAACCAGATAAATCCGCCGGATTTCACTTCATTGACCAGTTTTTAAGAGTCACTATTGCTTCCATGCCTGAAACAGCATTTCGTTCGATGCAAATGGGAGTACCGCATGGCGATGTTCTATATACCAGTTTGTTCAATATTTATATTGCGGAAATCCCCATTCCTCCAACAGATGTTTCAGTGGTGTTGTAAGCCAAATTCCACCCTTCCGAGTGATATCAAACCTTAATGGCCGGCAATCCTTCGTTGAGTTCCGTTGGCTGTATCCTATCTCCCATTTTCCCTTGGCGGAACTCCCCCATTCCCTCATAAGAGTGGTGTCGTACGTCGATGACTTTACAATTATTTCGTCCGTGTAAGTGCAAAACAATTCCAATTTCTTGCGGGAGCGCAATCTAAAATTATCTGGTGGTCTTCGATAATCTCTCGCATTTCACCTCGCATTTCAACTACGTCAAGCGGAATGTGAGAGTTAAAAATAAAGTTCTCAAGATCTTTGGCAGCCATCTGAGGGCAAAGATAAATAAACGTTGGTAACCTACAAGGCCATCGATCTCTCCATCCTGTTATTATGCTGCTACGGTCCTTGCAAACTACTTAAAATAATGCCCTCCAAATTGCAACTGTGTGTGTCCAGATGATGAGCGTCGATCACCTCCATGAAGAGACCAGAATGCTGTCAGTCAAGCAACATAATGTGTTTATGACTAGACAATTTCTTCTGGCATATTGATCCACCTCCGTGACACATCCTAGGGCTTCAGGCGCTATCCTGAAGACATCCAAGGCGCCATTCCGTCGGATATCACTGTCGATAGCGAACGCGAAGAAATAGATGCATCAACAGGTGGTCTCAGAAGCCATAAATGGTTACATATGCAATAAAATCCTACTCCAACATCCTCCTGCAATTTGGGGTAGTGAGACCCCTATTCCTAGGCAAACCCCTTGAATTCTGGCACAATCAATGCTTCTGGCAAAACAAAATATAACGGTACTCTTTAATATTCGGTATTTAGGGAATTTTTGATTGTAAGTTGGTACTTTGAGCCATCATTGGGTAGCAAATCTACCCACTCAAGAACGATGGATATGGGTCCATTTTAATGATAGCCCGAATGTATAGGAACTCTCCATTATTTAAGTATTTTGGGGGGTATGGGAACATTGACCAATAAATTTGGCTATGATTTGGTATTTTGACTTTTCATTGGGGGACACATCTTCCTACCAAAGCTTGTCAATATATGTAGGTCAACTATTTACGATAGTCCCCATATAACGGTACTCCACTTTTCTCGATATTTTGAGAATTTTTTCAACTTTTTGCAACGTATTGTAAATTCTCATGGGATATAAAAATCATGGTCCATTTTATAGGATAGCTCCGATATAATAATCCCTCTCAAATTTCGTTATTTTGGGGTGTATGGGCACGTTTTTAAACTGTATAAGCAGTGATATGGTATTTAGAATTCACGATAGGTGGCAAATATTCCTGCCAAAAATGATCAATATTGACCCATTTTGTTGGATAGCTCCTAAAATAACATTATTTGGTATTTTAGGGGTTATGGATATGTTTTTTTTCTGATTTTCAATTAAAAAATATATATACTTTTTTATTCCTTCCAGGTGGTCATAATCTCAATAGCAGCCGGTGTGGCCCTACTTGGCGTGATGTCACGCTTTCTACGCCGACGAAAACCGCCACGTCCACCACGCAGAGCACGTAAATATACCAGCCGGAGGCAGCGTAACAGCATGCGTAGCCCCAACGATATGATATCGGTGGCGGGTTCCAAAGCCTCGGCACGTTCTGGCAGTCCTGTAGCCTCTACCGTTGCCTATTCACAATCTGATCGTATGTCAATGGCCAGTGGATCAGTCGGAGCTGGTATGGGTGGTGGACCCTTGGTCATGTCAAATCAATCACAAACCGGTGGTATTATTACCACACAATTAACAGCCCAACAACTTGGTGTTATGGGCATGGAAGCTCTCGATACTGTCATTAATTTCTGGGAAGATGCTTTGGCTGCTCACTATTCACCTGGAGGTGTACCAGCCCTACTCACCACCGCTGAAGAATCCGAATTCTGTCGTGAAATACAAAATTTACTTGATATGGCATACGCTTTGCAGGAACAAAGTGAGCTGCTATTTCTTGATCAACGTTCAGTGCTATTTCGCGATGAACCATCAATCGATGAAGCTGAAGAAGATCAATGGGCTGCCTTAGAAGATGTCGGTGGTAGTGGTGCGGGCACGGATGATGATAGACATTCACATCGTTCGACAAGTATGAGTCGTACTGGTTCAGATCCAAATTTCGATTCAGCCGAATCATTTGCATCGGCATTGGATCAGGTTGCGGATATGCGTGAATTTGAAAGTTTTGCTGAAACGGAATTCGAAGAATATCCTCTATATCAGACGGCATTGAAACAGCATGAGGAGACAGCGATACCCTATCGTACATTGCGTACCGAATTGGTACACTGTAGTAATGATACTGAGTATTTGGCGAAATTGCATTGTGTTCGTTTGGCTTTTCAATATTTATTTAAGGTGAGTAGATTTTATAAATTGGAGTGTGTGTTAATGTTCGAAATAATCGTCGGAGCCCAAGTTTCGGGTCTTAGGTTTCCCAAAATTTTCTTCTTTTGGGGGGCTTGGGCAAGTTTTTCAATCGAATTGGCTCAATTTTGGTAATTTGCGTTTTGATTGGTTAGCAAACCTTCATATCAAAAATTATTAAAATTGGCATAAGTTTCGGGGTAGCTCCCACATAAAGGTACCCCTAATATTTAGTATTTTGGAGATTTTAGGCAGGGGTTTCAATCGAATTGGTTCTAATTTGATATTTTGGGTTCTCTCTGCGTAGCAAATTTGTCTACCAAAAATGATCACTATAGATCCACGTGTTGATATAGCACTCCTATAAGGGTACACCGTATATTCGGTACTTTGTGGAACACTTTTCAACCGAATTGCCTGTAATTTAGCATTTTGGGTTCTCATTAGCTCTCAAATCTTCCAACCAAATATTATCGATATTGGTTCACTTTTAGGGTTCCCCCAAATTTTGCTGGGGGGATTGGTCAAGTTTCAAGTTTTTTGAGTAGCAAATTTGTCTACCAAAAATTATCGATATAGGTCCATGTTTGGATATAGCCTCCATATAACGACACCCTCAATATTCGGCCATTTTGGGGATTTTGTGGCACATTTTTCAACCGATTTGGCTGTAATTTAGTATTTTGGGTTCTCATAAGGTCTCAAATTTTCCAAGCAAAAATTATCGATATTAGTTCACTTTTAGGGTTCCCCCTAAATTTTGCTCTTCTGAGGGGATTGGGCAAGTTTTTCAATCGAATTTGCTATAATTTGGTAATTTGGGTTCTCTTTGCATTAAGAAATCTTCCTACCAAAAATTATTAACATTGGTCCATGTTTCGGGGTAGCTCCCCATACCCCTAAAATTTAGTATTTTGGAGATTTTAGGCAGAGTTTTTCAATCGAATTGGCTCTAATCTGGTAATTTGGCTTCTCAAGAGGTAGAAAATCTTTCTATCAAAAATTATCAATATTGCCCCCAGTTTCATGGTAGTTCCCTTATAGCAGTGCCTCCCTTCGATTCCGTATTTTGTGGATTGCGGCCACGTTTTTGAACCAAATTGGCTCTAATTTGATTTTCAAGGTTCTCAGTGGGTGCCAAATCTTTCTGCCAAAAATCAATCAATATCGGTCCATGCTATAGTAGCTCCCATATAATATATACAGTCCCTATATAGGTATGTTGATGGTCCAAGGCGCATTATCCACAGGAAGCGTCTGTAAGCTGGCATTCTATGTTCTTGGAGAGCAATGGACTTATTCGAAAATAATTTTGAATGGAGGTCAATGTTTTGGCATTGCTTAGGTCCCGCTATTGTTGGTATTTTCTTGGTCGTAGTCTCATGACCCACAAGAATTTTTTTGATATTTTTATTTTTTTAATTTTATTTTTGTTTAATTTTTTTTCTCTTTTTCAGGATCCAGCTATTGGCCAATGGGTAATTGATACTGGCCGACAAATCCTTACCGATTTACTCTGCTTGGGTGACAAAGATACCAAAGAATTCTTGGTGGGATATGAAGATATGATCAATTATCTGCAAAATCCCAATAATTGGGATGAAATCCAAAAGGAATTGGAATCACGCAATGTCAAGGCCATGACATTTTATGACATCTGTTTGGATTTCATAATACTCGATTCATTTCGGGATTTAGATACCCCACCGGCCAGTGTTATTGCGGTGGTGCAGAATCGTTTCCTATCAAATGGTTTTAAGGAGACGGTAAGTTCCAAATTTTGAAAAAAGAATAATTCGATTATAATGAAATGTTATTTTATTCCCTTGTAGGCCCTTACAACCGCCGTGTGGTCAGTGCTGAAGGCCAAAAAACGCATGCTAAAATTCCCTGAGGGTTTTATGGCCCATTTCTATGTGATTTCCGAGCAATTATCACCCCTCATGGCATGGGGTTTCTTTGGTCCCGATGAAAATCTCAAAGATATCTGCCATTACTTTAGAGATCAGCTAATGGGCTTTTTGGCGGATATATTTAGTTTTCAAAAAAGTCGTTATACCACATTGGAAGATTTTGCCCATGATGTTTTGGATCATATGAAGACACGGGTTAATAATATAAGCATTAAATTTAGTCAATAGATATATTAGGCCAAACCACACAGAATACAGAGATAAACATTTACTTCCTCCTCCTTACCCTCACACATAACTAAAGGACTCTGGATAACTAATAACATTCTTTGGTTTAGAACCAACCAACCATCATGAAAAAGAATATTCCAAGATTGGTGGCCAATGGAACAACAAGTGGATGTGTTCATCGTAAAAAAATTAAATTTAAGCTCAGTGTAGGTGATAGATACAAAAAAACATGAAACTAATCCCATTTTTTCTTTTATTTTTGTTTAATTACTCAATGGCATTTAAACATTAACAACAGCAGCAGAAAAATAGTCTCTTATTTGGTGCTTCGATCACTAACAACTCACAACAACAAAAATAAAAAAAATATTACAACAATATTGATAGCTTTAAACAATGCAACTGCAAATACACTCATAACAATCACACACACCACGCATACATACTCTCCTATTTTTTTATACGTACGATATATTATTTGCTTTTAAGTTGTTGTTGTATCATATTGATTACGAATACAAACAAACAAAAATCTACATTTTAAGATTCATTATTTTTTCAATACTATTTTTCCTTTTTTTTCTTCTCCTCCTCTTTTTTTATTAATTACAAAACTCTAAATAATGTATTTTTTATAACAATATTAACCAAAAAAAAAAAAGATTGTTGACTAGTGTTGTACAAAAAAAATGGAACTAGGAAATATATATGTAAACATGTTGAATATATTTTTACATACTACTTTATTTCAACTCAACACATATATTGTTGTTTTTGTAATATGGATTAATTAATTTTTTTAAGGCAACTCATCCTTGATTAGCTTTAAAATTTAATTTGCCTTATGGGTTTTGTTATATGCATATTACACATTTTTATCTTTATTAACAGCCAATTACTTAATGAATTCAATATAAAAATATAAATTAAAAACAAGAGAAAGATAAAAAAATAATAAATTACCATACAAATATGTTTTGTATATAAAAAATAAAATTTGTGATTTATATTTTATGTTTTAAAGAACCCTATCAGTAATAAATGAGGGGTTTCAGGTTACAAGGAAGATCTTTCTAAACAATATTTTTTGATTGACCGGTAGGTAGGGATTTTTTCAAAATAAAAATTTTTAAGAAATGAAAATATATATGAAAACCAGTGAGCGGAGCAGTATAGTCGGACGGGGCCGACCATACGATACCCTACACAACTACCACGGAACTCAAATTTTCTGCGGATGTTTATTCCGAGCCTGGGCAATATTTCGTGATATTGGCATCCTCTTGCCCGATTACAGGTAAACAGCACCTCTTCCTCACACTGACATATTTTCCGAATATTACGAGTATTCAGTACAGCTATTGTCCAGATTCCCTTCACCGTGGGTTGTGTTGTGATGTTCGGCTTTCATTTGTGGTATATATATCGACTCGAAAATAACACAAAAAATTAAGTTTTCGGTCCACGTCATTCACAAAATTATTATCTGATCATCACCGAAAATTATAGGCGTTGTCCTTGACTATAACTGGAACCTTATGGAACATTTCAAAGCGATAAGCGCTATAGTTCCGCGCTCTAGAGTGATAATGGGTTACTAAATAATATACGGATACGGAGATACCTGCAAATATTTAGGTGTAACTCCCACATCCGAGCACATACAACGTTATAATGGGTATTAATTTAAAGGTCAACCACTCCTCTTGGATATAATATCAACTTCTCGGGTCTATGTCATTCAGGGGTAAATATATACGCTATAGAATACAAATTTTGTCATTTTTCACACAAAAGTCAGGGTCCATTTGACCCCCTAAATATTGACCAATCTTTATCAAAAGAGGCATGCTTATTCTTTGGCCCGATCCCCTTCTCCATGCAAAATTTCACGATGTTCGGGTCATTATTGCGGCCTCTGGAGCGACCAGAAAAACCGACAAAAATTTAGTATTTGGTCCATTTCATCCCCTAAATATTAACCGATCTTTCCCAAAAACAATAGGGGTCTTCATTGGCCAGAAACCATCCTACATGCAAAATTTCGTGAAGATTGGTCCATAACTGTGGCCTGTATCGTGTTTACAAATTATAATGGACAGACGGACGGACGGACGGACACACATGTCTAGATCGACTCAGCTAGTCGAGATATGACGATCGGTATACTTAAAGGTGGGTCTAGGACCAATATTTCGCGTCGTTACAAACTCTTGGGGCTGCACAAAGCTATAATACCCTGACAACATAGTTGTGTAGGGTATAAATATCAGATACCAACAATATTTGGTAATTTTGTCTGTAATAAGTCAGGAGCATGCACCAGCTGATTAGTACAATTTGGCTAGAGGAAATTATGCCCAATAATTGGAATCTCAGCATCCTGTGTCCCGTGCACAAAGAAAGGAGACAAGACGATATGTGCCAACTATAGAGGAATAAGTCTCCTTCCCATCTTATGTAAAGTGCTATCCAGCCTGCTATGTGAACGACTGAAGCCAATGGTCAATACATTATTGGACCATACCAATGCGGCTTCAGACCTGGCAAATCCACCATTGACCAGATTTTCACTCTGCGCCTAATCATGGAAAAAACCCACGAAAAATACATCGACACATTCCACCGATTCGTCGACTATAAAGCCGCATTCGACAGCCCTATCCGTTCAGAGGTGTTTAAAGCCATGTCTACGTTCGGCATTCCTGCAAAATTAATACGGCTATGCAGGATAACTTTAAGTGGCACAAGGTCAGCAGTGAAAGTCGGAAAGGACCTACCGGAGCCCTTCAATGTCGAACGAGAATTCAGACAAGGTGACAGTTTGTCGTGTGATCTTTTTAACATCCTGCTGGAAAATGTCGTACGAGACGCAAAGATGAACAGAAATGGCACTCTGTACACCAAACAACACCAGCTACTCGCCTACGCCGATGACATCGACATAATGGGTCGAACATTGAGAGCGGTAACAGCCACCTTTGAACAAATTGAGAAGGAGTCTGCCAAAGTGGGTCTGGTAGTAAACGGCGAGAAGTCCAAGCTGATGGTATCAACGAGCAAGACGTCCGGTAGACTCGCACCAACTGTGGAACTTGAGAACTACTATTATATGGATTTGAAGCATGGATACTTACGCATGCAGATGAGGCAGCTCTTGGAGTGTTTGAGAGAAAAATTCTCCGAAAGATCTGTGGGCCGATCTGCGTTGACGGTCAATATCGCCGTCGAATAAACCATGAGCTGTACCAGCTATTCTCGGACGACGTATTGAACTGCAGCGACTACGTAGGCTAGGTCATGTTTTGAGATTATGATGCCCCAGCCCAAAAGGCATATATAAGCGAACCTGTAGATGGTTCACGCAGAAGGGGAAGGCCACGAATAAAATGGAAAGATCAAGTGGAAGACAACATTGCCGAATATGATCTTTCAAACTAGAAAAACTGTGCAAAATACCGACACGCCTGGAAATCTTTTTTAAGCTCGGCTTATGGAATGAATGTTCTGTCACAAGCTAGCTAAGTAAGAAAGTAACTATTTCTCAAGGCCGGCTGGGCGATGATTTAAAAAAAAAAATATTTTTTGAATTATTAAAAAAATTTTTTCAAGCAGAAATAGGTCAGGAATATTTCAAGCACAAATAGGCTAGGATTATAGAAATATTTTTTCAAGGATGGATAGTCAAGCATTTAAAAAAATATACATATACATATATACATATATTAAAAAATATTATTTTAAGCACAAATAATTATTTAAAAATACTTTTATAAGGACGAATAGCCGAAGATTATTTTAAATACCTTTACTTAAGTACAGATAAACGTGGATTATTTCAAAAAATATTTTATGCAAGCACAAATTTGCATAAAATACAATTCACACTTGGAGTCCTTTGAAAATTATTTTGTTTTAAATTATATACCTAGAGGTTTTTGGGAAAATTGATGTTTTAAAAATCGGCGCCTACAGGTTCTGAAAAACAATTTTATTAAAAATTCAGTTTTGTTTATTTTTTATTTCCTTCCCCTGGCAGCAATATAAAATCCATATGAATTTGCTATTATTGCAATGCATATGAGGGTATATACAGCTAACTGGACATAGCCCAACATAAGGAAACTGGCCGTATTATAATATTGAATGTAATGAGTTTTATGTTTGCATGTTATCGAATAATTGGACCAAACATGATAATGCACCCACAACAGGGACATCAGATATGCCAACCACAAGACAATGGATATTGAACAGATCTGAAATAAAAAAAAAATCTTTAAATACATCAATAAAGAAAAACATGTAATCTTTACCAAATAAATCCATAGCTGAACTCTTATACGAATGGGTTTAATGCTAAGGCATATAAGAGCAATGAAATAGAGCGCACACAATATCAATAGAATTTTATAGGTTAGAATCTCTTTGGTATTTGTTAGCCGCAAATTTGTTTCAAATAGGATAATTGTCAATACTGAAAGGATCTGGTAATATTTGTAAGGAGTGAAATATTATTTTCGATATTTGATTCGCTTACCAAACAAATCAGGTTTAATATAAGCAAAAGTATGTCCTTGGGCGAAACCATTTCTTTGAAATATAGAATCAAGGCCTATATAGGCCTTGTATTGAATATTTAAAATCTGAATAGTTTGAAAGTTAATATTTTCAATATAAATATTTTAGATATTAGAATTTTTAGAATTTTTAAGAACCTATTGAGGTGGATAGACCTCTACCTCAATAGGTTCTTAAAAATACACGAAGCCTATTGGTCCTGCAAAAATTTATTTATTTATTTTTTTGAAATAATCCTTGTCTAGATGTCTTTGAAAAAATATTATTTTTATAATAATGCATTTAAAGCTTTATATGACATCCAGAAGTTTGTAACTCCGAAAAAATTTTGTGATATCTTGACTAGGACATGTGATTCCGTCTCTCCATCTGCTCTTATAATTTGTAAACCTGATACAGGCCACAGTTATAGACCAATCGTCACGAAATTATACATGTCGGACGGGTTCTGGCCAAAAAAAAGACCCCAATTTTTTTTTGGTTAAGATTGATGAATATTTTGGAGGATGCTCAAACACCGCGAAATTTTTCACAAGGAAGAGAATCTGACCAAATAATAAGCATGACTGTTTTGATGAAGATCGGTCAATATTTATCTCGGGTCAAATATACCCAGACTATTGTGTCAAAAATGACAAAAATTGTATTACATGGCCGAGAAGTATTATCATAGGATGCATAGAGCAACTTTCTGAGTCGATTTATGCATGTCCGTCCTTCTGTCTGTCCATGTTACATTGTAAACAAAGTACAGGTCGCATTTATGATACGAATTGAAATTTGACACAGCTCATTTATTTGGCCCCGAGACGAACCTGATTGAAATTGGAAAAAATCGGTTCCGATTTATATATAGCTCCCCTATATATTTTCGTCCGATTTCAATTAAATGGTGCACCAAACTCCCTATATATCGTTAGATTTTCACGAAATTTAGCATAGCGTACTGAATTAAGTCTAGAATGATGTGTGTTAAGTGGCCCCCATATATATTTTCGTCCAATTTCAATTAAATGGTGCACCAAAGTCCCTATATATCATTCGATTTGCACGAAAATTGGCATAGCGTACTGAATTAAGTCTACAATGATGTGTGCTAAGTTTCGTAAAAATTGGTCTGATTTGGATATAGCTCCCACATATATTTTCGTCCGATTTTAATTAAAAGGTGCATCAAAGACAAAAGGAGTGTGTTGAGTTTCGTGAAAATCGGTTCAGATTTAGATATAGCAATCGGTTTATATTTAGATATAGCTCCCCTATATATTTTCGTCCGATTTAATGTAAATGGTGAACCAAAGTCCTTATATATCTTTCGATTTGAACGAAATTTGGTTCCGATTTAGATATCCAACCATAGAAAACACATTTTTTTCTTTTCGAAGAGAGAAAAAAACAGTTTATTCACTACAAAAATACAAATACTTAAAATTGTTGCAATGGTGGTTTTTGTTGTTTTTGTTGTTACTCATTTCTTAAAACAGACAATATTTAAAAAAATAATAATAGAAAAAAACATAAATTATATAAAAAAAATATTTTATATATATTTTTAATAAATACATTTAGATTCTTTGATTGCTATACATACATATATAGCTATGTATGTACATGTGTATATAATTTATTATTTCAAATTTCTTTGGATTTTTTTTTATAAATTGCGGTTTTTGTATTCGGTTACCAAAGAAAACCCCCTCTAGTTTAGGGGTTATTATATTTAATTTTTTGATTTTCAATTGTGGCTTTGGATGTTTTGTTGTTGTTGTTTTTGTTGTTATTCCTATTTATATTATGCATTTAAATGCCACGATAAGATCGGTGGGCCAAGAAGGCACTGATAAAGTACAAAACGGCATTTACCAAACCCATAATACCGGCAGCAAAATAGGCATCACGTTGTGCATAGCCTCTTCGGGTGTCTGACAAGGTGATAACAACTTGCAGGGAACAGCAGAGCAGTAAAATGGCAGCAACACTGTGATAAATTAATTCCTGGAAGAAAATAACAAATATATAAAAAATTGATAAATTATATTATTTAAAAAAAAATATTTTTTTAATTATTTAAAAAATATTTTTTTAATTATTTAAAAATAATTTTTTTATTTATTTTAAAAAATCCCCAATTTTGTAACACTTACATAAATTGTTTTCGATATAATACCGCCAGTACTGAGTGACGTCAGACACGACAGCAGCAAACAGAATGTTCCAATCATAAATGTCACCGACATTAGGAAGGCAAAGACGATTCCCTCCATGTTGTAGAAACAGGCGCCATTCTTTTGGTAGTAGGCAAAGATGCCAACCATGGCAGCACCAATTAGCTAGAAATTACAAAAAAAAAGAATTCAAAATTTATTTTGAAAATAAAATTATAGAAATATTCATTCTCAATATTTACTCACCAATTCAGCCAATTTGAGTAGGCCACTGAAACTCTTCAAATAGCCGGTGTTCAGGACAATGTATGAAGTGTTGGTGGTGCTGGTGGTGGTGCGAGTAATGGTCACAGAGTGAGACATTTTGTTGGGAGTTTTGTTGTTTTTTTATGGGAAGACTAGAAAAAAATAAACCAAGAAGGTGGGTGTGTTCGGATTGGATGGGAGTTAGCTGGAAAAGAAAAAAAGGGGAATATTAATAAAAAAATATTGTTCATAATAAATTAATTAAAAGAAAGCGGAAATGTAATGAAAGTTCTGATATTCCTCTACGATTTTCTTTTTGAAAAAAAAAATCGATTGCTATAAAAATGTTTTAAAACCCCAACGATCCTTAAAAAAATATAATTTGTATACCCTTCACCACATTGTGGTACAGGGTATTATGTCTTTGTGCATATGTTTGTAACAGGCAAAAGGAAACGAGATAGACACATGGTTCCTTTTGAGTATATGCATAGAGTCACTTTCTGAGTCGATTTATGCATGTACGTCCGTCTATCCGTCCGTCTGTTGATATTAAATTGTAAACAAAGTACAGGTCGCATTTATGATCCGATTTGGATGAAATTTGACACAGCTCTTTTATTTGGCCCAAGGACGAACCCTATTGAAATTGAGAAAAATCGATTCGGATTTAGATATAGCTCCCATATATATTTTCATCCGATTTTAGGTAAATAGTGCACCAATGTCCCTATATATCCTTCGAATTGCACGAAATTTGGCATAGCGTACTGAAATAAGTCTATAACGTTGTGTGTTAAATTTCGTGAAAATCGGTTCACATTTAGATATAGCTCCCATATATATTTTCGTCCGATTTAAGGTAAATGGTGTAACAAAGTACCTATATATCATTCGATTTGAACGAAATTTGGCATAGCGTACCTTATTATATCTAGAACGATGTATGTTAAATTTCGTGAAAATCGCCTCAGATTTAGATATAGCTCCGATATATATTTTTGTCCGATTTTAGGTGAATTGTGCCTTTATATCCTCCGATTTGCACGAAGTTTGGCATAGCGTACCTAATTATATCTGGAATGATGTGTGTTAAATTTCGTGAAAATCGGTTCACATTTAGATATAGCTCCCATATATATTTTCGTCCGATTTTAGGTAAATTACGTACCAAAGTACCTATACATCTTTCGATTTGCACGAAATTTGGCATAACGTACCTTTTTATATCTAGAATGATGTGTGCTAAGTTTCGTGAAAATCGTTTTAGATTTCGATATAGCTCCCATATATATTTTCGTTCGATTTTAGGTAAATGGTGTCTTTATATCCTCCGATTTGCACGAAATTTGGCATAGCGTACCTAATTATATCTAGAATGATGTGTGTTAAATTTCGTGAAAATCGGTTCATATTTAGATATAGCTGCTATATATATTTTCATCCGATTTTAGGTAAATAGTGCACCACAGTCTCCTTATATCCTTCGATTTGCAAGAAATTTGGCATAGCGTACTGAAATAAGTCTATAACGATGTGTGTTAAATTTCGTGAAAATCGGGTCAGATTTAGATATAGCTCCCATATATATTTTCGTACGATTTAATGTAAATGGTGCACCAAAGCCCCTTTATATTCTTCGATTGACACGAAATTTGGCATAGCGTACTGAAATAAGTCTATAACGATGTGTGTTAAATTTAGTGAAACTCGGTTCAGATTTAGATATAGCTCCCATATATATTTTCGTACGATTTAATGTAAATGGTGCACCAAAGCCCCTCTATATTCTTCGATTGACACGAAATTTGGCATAGCGTACTGAAATAAGTCTATAACGATGTGTGTTAAATTTAGTGAAAATCGGTTTAGATTTAGATATAGATCCCTTATATATTTTCGTCCGATTTTAGGTAAATGGTGCTTCAAAGTCCCTTTATATTCTTCGATTTGCACGAAATTTGGCATAACGTACTGGAATAAGTCTAGAATGATGTGTGCTAAGTTTTGTGAAAATCGGTTCACATTTAGATATAGCTCCCATATACATTTTCTTCCGATTTTATGTAAATTGTGCTTCAAAGTCCCTTTATATTCTTCGATTTGCACGGAATTAGTCTAAAATGAAGTGTGTTAAATTTCGTGAAAATCGGTTTAGATTTAGATATAGCTCCTATATATGTTTCCTTCCGATTTTAGGTAAATAGTGCACCAAAGTCTCTGTATATCCATCGAGTTACACGAAATTTGGCATAGCGTACGTAATTGAGTCTGATATGATGAGTGGTATGTAGCGGGAAAATCGGTTCAGATTTCGAACGGGTGTCTGATTGAGTTTAAATCATTACCCAAAACAAAAGAGATCTTCTTTGGTCAGAACCTGTCCTACATGGAAAATTTCGTGATGATTGGTCCATAAATGTAGGCTGTATCATGTTTCCAAAAAAAATCCATTTTCCTTAGTAACAAAAAATGTTCAATTTATTTTTAATTTTTTTTAATTCCTTGAATTTTCCAAAATTTCGCGGAAATTGCGTAAAATAAACCAGTTCCACCATATCTCGAGTAAACATATTTATGTTTACATGCTGACCTCCATGAGTATTCTTCATATTCCCACATGTGGCAGCTGAGACCCACAGCAAATGTAAACATTAACTGTGGCAAGCAAACACAAACACACTCATTAATTAATTATGCCTACTCTGGTAAAACTCGGAATTGTCATAAACAAGTCAACACCTTGCGAATCAAAAACAAAAAAATAAATAAATTTCATATCGAATTGAATTTTGAAAAAAAAAATTAACTAAAGTCCATGGAACTCAGGCAGTGTGACCTCAATGAAAAACATAAATGACGTCACTGTGAAAACACATACATACACACTACACCCATATGTCTGTTTCACTTTATAAATCACTATTTGAGAGTGTGTGTGTGTGTGTGTTTTCTCGCGGAAAACGAATATTATTGAAAATGCCATTTATTTGCTCTTTTCAAAATGAAAAGTTAATTTTAGTAAATGCCAAAAAAAAAACAATTTCTATTTTTTCTAAAAACGATCACAAAGAGTACGGAGCGATGGAAAAGCGAAAAACAAGAGCAAAACGTAATGGGAGAATCGTTTTTTTTAACAAATGTTTTCCATCAAAATTTGTGTGATTTTTTTTTTTTTTTTTTTGCAAAAAAAAAAAAAAAAAAAAAAAAAATGTGAAAAAGGCGTTTTAAATTTCGAAACAGGTTTATTCGTGCTTTTTGCAAACAACAAATGCATGAAAATCATAAAAATAAATTCAATATTTTAATGAATGTCTCGCGTAATGAATAGTTTAGTTGTTTGTCTTATTTTGTAATGCAACAACGCATCTCCTACTCGCTGCATTGCTGGCTGGCCTTGCTTGGAGGTCAGCTGTTGTGTTTCGGAAAAACATATTACCTGTTGTTTTTTTTTTTTCATAAATTTGTGGATGCGAATATACGGAGGAGAAACCGGCTTTTTGGGAACGAAGGAAATTCATCAAGGGACAATAGTCGGATCGGGGATACCCTACACTATTTTGGGTATACACACGATTATTTTTGTAACCTAGAATGTTACTTTCTCATGATTTTGCTAGCAGGTGTATCGAAGATATCGGACTCTTGATATGAAATCGAACCGGATTCGTATTCAAGCAATCCCTACAGGGGACATTCTGTAATCTATACAACATCTCACCTCAATCGGTGGATAGGCTTAGGGTCTTTGGATTATCATTCACATATATAAAACCAGTTAGGAAAGTAGTAAAGTCGGATTGGGTCGACTATATAATACCCTTCAACACTTTGAGTGTATTGAACTGAGGTATCCTGAGAGGCGGCCTTTTCGAAGAAACATTGACATAAAATTGGACGAATTTAAATATGTAAATCGACTAACATCAATCCATACACTTGCCATTCTGCAACCTATATTAAATTTCATTACATTCGGGCAGATTTAGAGAGTCCGTACAATGGGAGATATTTTTGTAAATCGATTTCAGGTGAACTTGGTACAAGATATTCGGTATGCCGCACTGTTACAAATGTAATCTCAATCAGACACCCTTTGACACCATTTACATTAAATCGGACACAATTTTCATTAAATCGGACGAAAATATATATGAACCGAAACTTGAAACGATGTTCAGGAAACATAAAACACATCATTCTAGACCTATTTCATTACGCTATGCCAAATTTTGTGGAAATCGAAAGATATATAGACACTGTGGTGCACCATTTACCTTAAAATCGGACAAAAATATGTATGGGAGCTATATCTAAATCTGAACCGATTTTCACGAAACTTAACGCACATGATTTTAGACTTAATTCAGTACGCTGTAGCAAATTTCGTGCAAATCGAAGGATATGTAAGGACTTCGGTGCACCATTTACATTAAATCGGACGAAACTATATGTGGGAGCTATATCTAAATCTGAACCAATTTTCTCGGAACTTAACATACATCATTCTAGACTTAGTTTAGTACGACATGCCAAATTTCGTGCAAATTAACACACATCATTCTAGGCTTAATTCAGTACTCTGTGCCAAATTTCGTGCAAATCGAACGAAACTATATATGGGAGCTATATCTAAATCTGAACCGATTTTTCCCAATTTCAATAGGATTCGTCCTTGGGCCAAATAAATGAGCTCTACCAAATTTCATCCAAATCGGATCATAAATGTGACCTGTACTTTGTTTACAATATAACATGGATAGACGGGCAGACATGCATAAATCGATTCAGAAAGTGATTCTGTGCATATTCTCCAATGGAACCCTGTGTCTATCTCGTTTCCTTTTGCCTGTTACAAACATATGCACAAATACAAAATACACTGTGGTGAAGGGTATAACAATATACGGAGCAGTATAGTAGGACGGGGCCGATACCCTACATAATTACACCGAGCTCTGATTTTTTGCGGATCTATATTCCGAGCCTCGGAAAAATTTCGCAATACTGTATTCTGCATATATCTTGGTACCGCTATAAATAAAACGAATGACATCAGTTTTGAAATTCGGAGAAGGATAGTGATGGCCAACAAATGCTACTATAGTTTGAGCAAACAATTCAAAAGCA